ATGGTAAGAAACAATGTAACGATGTACGGTATTGACAATGGGAAATTGCCCGTAGACATATGGAAACAATTTGGCCTACTTTCAGAATGGTAAAGTTAAGATAACCAACCACTCTTCTTTCCCCTCCTTTCCTCTCCTGTTCTCTCCTCTCTTCTGCTCTCTTGTTTTCTCCTTCTCTTTCCTCCTTTTGCTTTTCTTTCCTTTTTCTTCCCCTTCTTATAGTAGTGCTGGAGATTGAACTCAGGGAGTGCTGAGCCCCATATGCAACCCTTTTTATTTTATTTTTAAAATTTTAGTACAGGGTTGCCTTAAGTCTCTCAGGCTGGCCTCAAACTTGCATCCTCCTGCCTCAGCCTCCCAGAATGCTGAGATTGCAGGTGTGCGCTGTGCCTGGCTCTTTTATGTTTAGTCACTCTAAAAGATAATCAACTGTCTAAAAAAGAATGGCAGCGACGTGTTACTGTATTTTTAACACATAGAAAAGTAAAATATACAAAAGCAACAGCACAAGGGATGGAACCTGTGCTCCGAAGGCATATGCTGCTATGAGCTTACCACTGTCTACTTTTGCCAAGATGTCAGGTCTTCAGGACTCACTGCACCCCCAGAGCAGAAATGCTAACGTGTTAGCTTTTCAAAGTGTGCAGTTTGTAGCAGATGCATGACTAGGAAAACAACTAAGTCTCCTAGGATAACAATTTTTGGATGGACCCCCCACCCCCATTTAAGCTCCTTAGTAAATCAAAATATTTGTTCTACGGCTGACATCAGGCCTGGAAGGTTTTTTCTTTTATTATGATTATTTATTTATTTGTTTTTGAGACAGGGGCCCTGAACTCACGAGGTAGCCCAGGCTGGCCTCGATCTCGCTTCCATTCTCCTGCCTCAGCCTCCCAAGTTCTGGGATTACAAGCGAGCGCCACTATGGCCGACAGATCACTTGAACGTTTTCAGCAGATGGGAACTAGTTCTGAGGTACTTCAGATTATGTGAAGCAAAACCAGACGAAATGAAAATTAACTTCACTGTCCCAGGGTTTTGTAAATCATAAAAGGAACGATTACTGGTTTCCTTATGGATTTCTGCGTTGCACTATTCATGGAAATTATGCTTTCCTTCCTATCACGCTTGCTGATGCCATCGGCCCTGCTCAGGTCTTCACCCGCTCTTCCCTGTCTGTACGGAAAGTTGGGCTGAGCCGGTCGGAGCTCAGAGCCATGCTGGCTTCCTGGACAGCCGCCAGGGGGCGCCACCCACACGGGTTTTTATGCTACTGCAGCTTCTGTCTGTGGCGCTCAACACAATCTACGAAGTCGTCCTTGGTGAGGCTGGGGAACTGTCAGTCAGGCGCCCCCTGTTTGGTAGTTACACGGTTCCTCTTCTCCATACCACGAGAGAGAGAGAGAGAGAGAGAGAGAGGGAGAGAGACTGGGGACTGACCCCAAGGCTTTCGCACTGAGTTACAGCCTTTGTTTTATCTTTCTTTTGAGACAGAGTCCTGCTTAGTTGCCCAATCCCAGTTTGAACTTGTAATGGTCCTGCCTCAGCCTCCCAGAGTGTGCCACCAGGCCCATTGCTTTCACATTTTCAGCCGCTCCTTTGCACACCCTGCCAGTGTGGTGTGCTCTGATCCCAGTACAGCGACAGTCCTTGGGGCAACCTTTTGGAGCTTCTCCCAAGAGCCTCTCTGTCCTTCCCTCCTGATTTATCAGTGAGAAACAAGGTGCCCGCTGGGAGAGCCAGCTCTACCCTGCCCAGAAGAGCCAGCCCACAGTGGTCCCTCCATCTCCTCCGTGTGATGGGGATGATAACATTTATTCCCCACAAAACTTTGGGCATTTGATACTTTGACTTTAACCCCCCGGGGTGGGAGATGTATTTAAAATACAAAATGTTGCCTGTTGTACTACGGTAGGAGGTCACCCAGACCAGGCTGTGAAACCGCAGGTTCAGGCTGGGCCTCAGCAAGCTGCACCGTGGCTGCTGGCAGGAGATCGCTCCTTTCTGCCTCAGTTTCTTCACTTGGCAGACAGAAGAACTGGCATCTGCATCCTTGGCTGTGTGAAGAGGACAGGGCTGAGCAGGTCACCGTGGCTCCTGTGTGCAGTCTGTAGTCAGCAAGGGCAGAGGACCCATGCATCCCCCTGGACTCAGTGTTGTCAGGGCTGCCAACAATGCCCAGCATGAAGTCAGGGTTCAGGGCACATTTTGGATGAGTTACTGAAGGAAAAGATGATAAACGCTGCTGGTCAGGGGAAAGGGGCTCTGGAAAGTCGGCTAGGAGACATTGCTCACACCTGGGCCTTGCATTCCTGCTAGGGTGGATTAGGGCCCTGTCCTGGCCTCAGGGAGAAGGGCACTAAAGAGGGCGTCTGGGCTTGGGCAGTGCACAGCCTAAGCTGCTGTCCGTGCTGGCAGTTTCCCACCTAGGACCTTCCTCCGTGCAGGTGGCTCTCTCAGGGCCTTGAATATGAGACGGAAGTGAAACCAGAGAAAGAAGTGTGGGTGGAGTTTCCACCTCCGCTCCTCTGTTTACCATCGCTTTGGAGCGCCAGAGGGGTGGCAGATGGGCACCACTTAATTACCCCCAACGGGAAGTGGGAGGGATGAACACACCAGGCTGGGTAGCCCATGCAACCTCACCCACTCGGTCAGCTGTGTCCCGCTGTCCCAGCTCTGCCCCCACACGCAGGACTGGGCAAGCCTGAGCTTACCTGGCTGATGCTCTCCTACGAGGCTCCACAGTGGCTCTGATTTCTCCTTGCAGAGTCTGAAGGCCAGGAAGGGGTCCTGGTCACCCACATTTCCCAGGTTGTGGCTGGCGACCCCCTGCCCCCTGTCTTAGCTTCTGTCACTCCCTTCTAAGTGATCACCTTCGCCCCGCTGAGCCAGTGGTGTCCCTCACTTCGGTTCTCTGGGGTCACACGGATGGGACAGGACAGGACGTGTCTCCCCCTTGCCAGGGCAGGGCCGCCTGTCCCGCTGTCTTTGGAGCCCTTGGATTGGAGCAGGGGCTGCTCCCAGCCAAGCTCAGTGAATACGCATTTGCTTAGTCAATGAGCAGGGGGCCTGCGTCTGTGTAGGACCAGCGCGGCCCTCATGAGCCCGCACTGGAGAAAGTGCTCATGGCGCGCTTCTGGAGATTTGTATTTCCACAAGCACCCTGTGGAGACGAAGCTGTGGGTTATTAACAGCATCTCAGAGGTGACCAAGGGGAGCGGGTGCTGGTGATGTGGCCCTGGGACAGCATCTGGCCACCCTTCCTGTTTGTTTGGAGGCGGTCTGGTCCTCAGGCCTCTGTTTGCCCAGCTGATCCATGAAATGGGTGTGTGGGGTACCACGCCTTCCCGGGACCGTCACTGTGACAGCAGCCACCTCCCGAGCTGCTGTTGTCTTGCCAGAGAAGAGGGCGTGGAATGTGTCTTAATTGTCTGCCCACTGGCCAGGTGCCACTGGCCTACGGCCCTGAGATCGGCACCAACAGCCCAGCGCAACATGGAACCACGGAGCAGGAGAAGCACAAGGCGAAGGGCCCAGGAGCAGCTGCGGGTGAGCAGGGCCTGCTGCTCCGTGGTGCAGACCGATGTGGATTCACATCACAGCCCTGCCACCTGGCAGCTGAGAGTCCGCTAACAAGTTACTCAGATGCCTAAGCCCTGGGTGCAGGATGAAAGCAGGGTTAGTGACACAGACCTCCGGCATTGGGGTAAAGTGAGGCAGCTCAGCAAATGACAGTCCTCCTCGTGCTGTGCTCCTTGTGCCACTGCGTAACGTCAAAGATCACCGCCTGGACGCCGTGGGGAGCAAAGAGCAAGGGCCGATGACCCCAGGTGCGTGCTTGGGGGAAAGTGAGCTGCTGATTGTGCCGTAGGTGCTGAGCGGAACCACGGTCTGATAAACAGGCCGATCACAGGGTCTGAAGATGGACTCTCGCTTCCAAAAGTAGCCCCTTGCCTCCCTGCCCATTGGTTGGGTTTGCTTGGTTTTATTTTTCTCAGGACACTTCTTCCTTGTAGTCACCCTCTGCTGTAGTTGAGGTTACTGGAAACGAATGAAAACGGAAATGTTAGTGTGTGTCACCCTGATGGCTCCCTTCCCTCCTGGGCACTTTGCTGTGGATGTCATGCTCCGGGGCCCGGGACCAGAGCGAGCCATGCACGTGCACACACTGCCTGGTTGCCCCCATCTGGCTCCCGTGCTGTGGAAACCAGAGGCAGGCGTGAAGTTTTTCTGGAGCAAGAAGAGAAGCTCCAGGAGCTTCCGGGAGCTGAAGGAAGCTGCGGGGACAAGGAAGGTAGCATCGCCTAATCCCAGCGCAGGTGAAAGTCAGAGAGTGCAGAGCCCAAATGCACGGAGAAGCAGAGGAGGACGAGCAGAGGGGGAGGAGGGCAGCCTGGCCATGCGTCAGCCCGGGACCATCCCGCACATGAGCAGGTAGCTTTGGGTGCATAATCTACCCCGTCTTATTTTCCACAGCTGGGAAGTGGAGCTCATGAATGCCTCCCTCAAACCCTTATTACAGCAATGAAGTAAGGGAGCGTCTCCGAAGCACCTTGCAGATTACCCAGCACTGAGCAAGGACTCAGATCGGTCATTTGCTCTCTGCAGATCCTCTTTCCACGTGGCGGTGCTGAGCTGCTCCCATGGAGGCCAGCACCCCCTCAGCACCCCACGCGGTCAGGCTGGGTCTTGGAAGCCTGAGCTGCGCTGCAATGGGGACATTCCCACTATGGGAGATAGCCGTGCTCCCTCCCTGCCTTCCCGTCCATGTGTCACAGCCTCGCTTCCGTCCCGACCACCCCTCCTGTCTCAGGACATCCCATCCCTGCAGGTGTCTGCTGGCTACCGAAGCTCAGGTGTCCTCTCGCTTCCCAGGAAGATCCTGCCCCGAGTTCCTCTCCGACCTCTGGCATCTCCCTGCCTGTTGTGTTTATTTCGCACTTCAGGGCTGGGCTCGGTCTGAGGCGCACTGCACATTGCACAAATCACGGTACTTGATCATCCCAAGCAGCTTTGTGAAGGTGCTGCTGTTGCTTCTCTCCTTTATGAAGGAAGAAACGGACCTTTGAGGAGGTGCCTGTATTAGCCAGGGGTCGAGATGGGACTTGGACCTGGACAGCTGATGCCACTGCGTGGTGCTGCATGGCAAGGTGGGTCTGGGGAAGGTGGCACAGCGCCAGGCTGCCACTGAGCTGCACCCGCCTCTGTGCCGAGCTGGAGGCATCTGAAGGCCCCACAGGATGTGCTCTGTGGGGAACCATGCTGCGTCTGATCCCCATCCTTTCGGAACTGATGTACTCAGGGTGCAGGTGTAGATGGGAGGCGTCCCATGTCGCTGTTCTATCAGAGGGAGGAGGCATAAATTTTAGTTTATCTATCCTGAATTCTTGATTTCTCATCTCACAATTATTTCATTGTGATCTTGGCAATATTTGAGTTCTGTAGCTTTGTAACAACTTTAAAGGTGTTTATTTCACGCCTATCAATTCCACATACAGTTGAAGCCCAACCCAAGCCTTGGGCCAAGGCTATAGAAAACCAGGTACCGCGGTGCCCCAGAGGGGTCAGTCTTGCATGGAAACAGACACAAGAGCACTTCATCCCGGCATGAAAATCACTCTGCCAGAGACAGGGAAGACTGAATTCCACCCCAGCATGTGGAGAGGTGGAGCTCTGGCCCTCCAGATGTGGTGGGGCGGAGCCTTTGTTCTTCAGACTGTGGTGCACAGTTTAGTCAATGTGACCCCAAGCAGCCTTTGGGATTGGTGGATGCTAGGATGGGAAATGGACGGAAAAAGATAGAGGGGAAAAATGGAGGACAGGGGGATGTGGACAGGATTAAGGCGTTGTATATGCACAGCAACCCCCATGGTGCGTATGACTGCTACGGACAACAGACTAAATAAAAACAAAGAAAATGGACGGAGTGGCGAGCGGTTGTTCCTGCGCCTCCGAAGTGGTTCTGGAAGCTTGGAAAGAACCTGGGAGTGAAGCTGGAGTGAGACCTGGGCACCAAGAGGGGAAGGCAGAGGGAGGGGCCGGCGGTCGAGGTGACTGGCAGGTGGTGGAGATGAGGGCTGCAGCCTTCTCTGTGCTGCCCAGGCAGGGGAGGCGCAGGGAAGGGCAAGTGTGAGCCTCCCTGGCCCCAGTGGGTGACTGCGCGTAGGTTTTTCCTTCCCCTGCTCACAGATACACAGAACCTTTGCTTTCAGGAAAGTTGGGGCTGGAAAGTTGCTTTTCGGCAACGCTGATGCTTTTGGCAAAGCGTCGATGTCTGGCAGGCAGTGGATGAGAGGCCAAGACAAATTTTCCAAGTTTTTAATTTTGCTAAGGCCTCTGCTCACGAGTTATGAGCACAACTTCTAACCTTGAGCTCCTCTTAGTCCTGTATTATTTTCACTTCTGGTTTTGCATTAAATAATCAGGACTCCATTCTAAAAATAAGATACAGGTGTTTACAACTTTCTCTTGCCGCTGGCTCCTTTCCTCCCTTCCCTGTTTTTCTCTGGCAAAATTGTCTGTAGGCTTGTGGAATTAGGCAGCAGTCGTTTCTCGCTTGACCTTGAATTTGAGACATCCATCTTGAACCCCCCGGGGGAGCCTGTATTTCTGGCGGGCTCACAGTGGGGTCTGATCTTGCTTTCCCTGTGTTCTTGGTTTGAATGTCACCTAGAAAACTCTGCAACTACCCCTTCTTCCTGCACAACTGAGGGTCCAGCTCCGTTCACTCCATTGCTGGGATTCAGGACTCCGGACAATAAAGCTCCTGGAAATGGAAAGAGATTCACACAGCAGGAAGACAACTGTCTCCAAATCTAAGAAGCCACCCAGCCTCGCCACTATCAGTGCCTTGTCCCTGGACAGATCCCCTTCCTGACACTTCCTGTGGGTCCCTCCTCCTCCGTTAATCCTCGTCTCAGATGGGCCAGGCACACAGCAAATCAAGAGCTCAGTAGAGGTGCAGCGGCTCTAACTGAGCAGCACCAGCTTGCTGAGATGGAAGGTGTGGCTCTCAACAGCCATCTCTTCATCCTTCTCCCACGCTGCTCTTGCCTCTATTGCTGCTGTGCTTATCTTCCCTTTAGACTTGAGTCCCTCAGGAATGAAGCCTCAGGAAGGTGTGCACAAAGTACCAAAGAAGCACAGGGACCATAGACCTGAACGCAGGTCCTCTGGCCGTGGCTCCCTCTCTGGCTTCTGCCACCATTCTGTTTGTTGGTTTGTTTTTAGAGACAGGGTCTCACTGTGTAGTTGAGACTGATCTGGAACTCACTATGTAGCCCAGGCTGGTCTCGAACTCACAGCGATCCTCCTGCCTCAGCCTCCCGAGTGCTGGGATTCCAGGCCTGTGCCACCATGCCCGGCTCTGCCACCATTCTGTACCCCTCATCACCATCTTGCCCCTCAGTTCTGGTGCCCTGACTCACTAATTATAACCAGGAATTGTTTACTCTATTTAAAACAATTTTTTTGTTGCTGCTTTTACATTCTTAATGATGCCTTGAGCTGAAGAAATCAGCTTTGTGGGGCAAAAATTTAAAAGAACACACTCAGAGAAGTAGAACGTGGGAGAGAAAGGCATGGGATAGCTTGGAGCTGGGGATATTGGATTTTGAGGGAGGAAATATGTGGAATATGTGTGAATGTGTAGGAACTTCTGTCTTGGTCTTTGTTTATGGGAAAAAAGGATGGCCCGCCCAAAGAAGGGTGATGGCACATTATACAGATGAAGGACACGAGGCCCAGCGGTGTTTTGGATGCGTGTCTAAGCATTCTTTGAACTCTCTCGATATGTTCTTTTATCTGAAGATCAGGTTTCAGCCCTTTATATCAAGTAAGCTGATTTACGTACTTTAAGGGATTTGGGGTGTGATGGACCCAGACAAGAAGCATAAAGAAATCTAGGGGATGCGAATGTAGTTACTCTAGGTAGCTCAGCAGGCACAATCCCTTACATCCTTGGCCCCTGGTGATCAGCTCCTTCAGCGTTTCTCCGGTCCCCAGAAGTGGGCGGGGAACGTGAAGTTCCCTCCAAACCCATAGGTCGTTTCCCTGGTGACAATCCTGGGAAATCCAGGAGCCCCCAAGAGTCATCTCATTAGAACGAAAGCAGCTCCTATTATCCAAGAAAGTGATTCAGGACCCCTATGTTTCTAAGAAAATCACAAAGGTCTTTAGAGCTCTCTGTCAGGAACCGGGATAAAAGACTGAATATTAGAATAAAAGACCTTCCTAGCATCTCCGTCCAGAAGGGTCTTAGTCACTCTGTCTCCCCTAGCAATGGAGCCACCCATGGACTGAGTTCCCTGAAACCCTGAACCAAGTAACCATTTTTTCTATTCCACTGAGAGTTTCAGTTATTTTGTCCAGCCACGGGAAAGTTTCCTGAGGCATCTGTTTTGTTTTAGCTTTTTTTTTTTTTTTTTTTTTTTTTTTTTTTTTTTTTTTTTTTTTTTTTTTTTGGTATTGGGGGTTGAACTCAAGGACCTTGCACTTGCAAGGCAGGAGTGGTGCCACTGAGCTAAATGCCCCGCCTGTTTTCATTATAGGCGTTTCCACTGTTACAGCTGCCATCCAGACATCTCCACAAAGTCTCATGCAATCATAGGTTGGGCTTTTCAGAGGTGGTTGGATCTAGGGTGTATGATACTAAAATCAAGGATGTGATGTCAGGATTGATTCATGGTGTGATGCTAAGATTACGGTTGGGTAGTCTGGATAGAATAGAAGGACAGAGTGAGGGCTTCTGTGGTTGTTGCTTGTCAGTCACTTTCTACTTTGTTGCTCTGTTCTGCTCTGCCTGCCCTGGACTGTGTCTCCTGTGCGATGTCTCTCTGCTGTGCCACCCTGCCTTGGAGCCAGCTAACTACAAACCAAAACCTCTACAAATTGTGAACCAAATAAGCCTTTTCTTCGTTAACTTTGGGTGTTGGATATTTTGTCTCAGTAATGAGAAAAATAACTAAGAGATTCACCATCAACCTTCCTCCCTTATACTGCAGAAAGAGTTTAACAATAAACCTTCAAATGATTTTTAATTTGATATGTACTTTTGAAGCTATCGAGTTGAAAATCACCCTAAGACCTCCAGGGTACCCCATATAAAACACTATGGATAGTAATTGTTATGGGGAATAAAAATGAAAAAGATTTGATTAGAAGGGAGAATTCTCTCTCAAGAAAACAATCCTTTTGCCTCAGATCAGATGATCAGTGCACTGTGCCAAAGAACTAGTCATCCAAAACAGCTAAAGATTCTTGCAGGGGGAGGCAGGGTGTATATGTAGGGTGGTAAACTGGAGAGCTGGCAATTACAGCGCTGAACCTCTCCTCGCTTAAATGACTTTGGATCCAATTTTTTTCCTTGCTAGTGAAGTAGTTTCTCTGTCCCTTTGTCAGAGGCTTTAAATGTAGCCCTGACATTCAGCCCTGAAGAAGGGGAGCCTGTTCAGGGGAGCAGCCAGATGGAGCACCTGTTTACCCAGGGGGCTTCTTCTGCAGCCAGCAGCCCAAAGCCCGCTGGTGGGATGCAGTGCCTTGTGTGTGTGTGGTTGGGGAGGAGAACTGAGGAAATACAGGACCGGGGTTCAAATCCCGTTTCCTCCACTGGCTAGGTGCGTGGACACAGGAAAGGCGCAGAAGCCTTTTTTAGCTCAGTTGACCCCTCTGTCGGATAGGAATAAAAGCACTGCAGAAGTCTGTGGCGTGGGTCAGATGGAGCTGCAGACATGACTGGCTGCTACACCATGCAGTAAGTGACAAATATTCAGTACCTATTGCAATAAGTGACACTTCGGACTCGAGCCTCCCAAACCTCTCCTAGCTCTCAGGGCAAATGAGTCAAGTTCTTTCCCTTGGAGATGGCAAAAGGAGAAAACAACTGCTCTTTTGCAAAATTTCTTAAAGGCAAGGGCCATGGGGTCCAGACAATGGGAGCTAAAAGTCTCTGCAAAACAAAGCTCGGTCTTTCCTCCTGGGATGTGAAGGTTTTCTAGGAGGTTTTATCAGCACTGACTCCATGTCCCAGGCCCTGGGAGAGGAAGGCAGGAGAATGGACCACATGGAGGTGCGGGGGAGCTTCCGGGAGAGGGCTGGCTGTCGAGTGAGCGTTTCTTCGCTTCATGCATGCTGCTTGGACTTTCTTTGCGTCTTCTCCAACTTTTATGACTCAGTCACCCAACAAATCTGTATCGCATGACCTGTGGCAGGCTCTAGGTTAGGCATTCATCACAGAGTGTCAAAATGTGAACATATTTGGGCCGGCAAGGTGGTGCACACCTACAATCCCAGCATTCTCTGGAGGCTGAGGTAGGAAGATTGCTGTGAGTTCAAGGGCAGCCTGGACTGCAACGTGAGACTCTGTCTCAAACAAACAAACAAACAAACAAACAAACCAATCAAAAATATGAACGTATTCCCCGTATCACAGCCAGGACTGGAAGGCAGGACTTACCTGTAGTCACCACTGGATGCCCACATCACCTGGAACTGAATGGAATTAAGTAACACAAGTGAAATATTAAGATGAGTGTTGATCATTTTGACTATTTGAGAGCCCATGCAGAGAAAATGGAGCAAGCAGGGTCACTCAGCAGGAAGATGAGGGCCTGCTCTAGGATACCCAGAAGTTCGGGTTCTCTCAGCTCAGAGTGGTGGACCAGGAGGAGGACAAGGAGGAGGAGAGGGGAGGTTGGGGCCACACTGTGCAGAACTTTGAACACCAAACTGAAATTTTTAGATGTGATTTTTTCAGTCAGTGGGGATCCCCAGAGGGCCCTTAAACAGATGTGGGATGCAATTAAAGCTTCACGTGAGAAAGCTGATTTGGCCAAGCTTTCTAAGCTTATCAGAGGAGAGGGACTAGAGACAGCAGCTTAGTTAGGAAGCCAGGAAGCCAGCTAAGCCAACTAGTGAAAAGCTTTGACTGCATTGTTAGCAGGAAGAAATTTGGAGATGTGGAAAGATCTGAGCATCAAAGGAGAGGTCAGTGGTGTGAGAAAGCAAAAACGAAAAAGAAAGGAAACGAGAGAGAGTCAGAGATGGTTCTGGATGCTAGACCTAGGGAAGGGGCCGAGACATAAGGCTCCTAAAAACAAACAAACAAACAGAAAGAAGTCTGCACTGGCAGAAAGAGCTGCAATTGATACAGGAAGGAAGTGGAAGAAATGTCACGTCTAAGGACCACATCTACACTGAGGAGGAGGAGGAGGCCTGGAGCAAACCTACGGAAGTGGAGATGGATCGGGAGTGAGGAACAGAGCAGAGGGCGGCGGTGAGGGAAAAACAGAACGGATCCAGTGTGGGAACTGTGATGAAAAGAGCATCCACAGCCAGGTGTGGGGAGGGAGGGAGCGGGGAGAAGAGGGCTGAGGGAAGAAAGCCAGGGAGTTGGTGTATGTTCAGATCGCAAGAAATCAGAACCAAGAAGGAGGCAGAATCAGAGAGACAGGAGACAGGACACTGTAGGGTAACGTGCAGAAGCCAGCGGAGGACGATGCAATCCCAGGAAGGAAGCTGGATTCGGTGCTGAGTGATAGGTCACGTTTTCTCCCAAACGCGTGCAGTGTGGGCCATCACCTTCACGCCGAATTACCTTCTGTGCAGTACGCTGTCGTGGATGTCACCCCATCCCCCGGTTCTGACGTGAGCTTCTAGAAGCTTCTGGACACCTTGCCTGGATGCTGCCGGCAGCCCTGCCTGTTTCCATGGCGATGGTGATAGATGAAAGATTAGACAGAGCCCTGAGAGAAGTGGAGAAGCCGGTGACCCGGTGGACACCCCCGCCATGGAGAGCGACATCACAGCCTCCGTACTTCCCAGTATCTGCTCAGCCCCCTCCCCACCGTTTCTTTTCCCATCTTCCTTCCTTCCTTCCTAACCAGGGGAAAATCGTCCCACACGAGCTAGAGTCTCGGGGGATAACAAAGATAACAGAGTCGACATTCATCATTTCCCACATAAGGAAGCTTAAAATAGCAAGCAGCCGGAAGGGCAGGGACTCGTCCACAGCGACACAGCTGGTTAACAATGGCGCAGCCCAGGCCAGCAGCCGGGACTCCCAGCTGTCACGCTTCTCAGGACCCCACCCTGCATCCCTTCTGATGAAGCCACTTCTCTGAAACGCGTACGTTTCTGAAGAAGTCTCCAACTTTCCAGCCCAGCGTTTCTTCTCAAATCAGAGGAGTTTATGAAAGATCACTCCCCGGAAAGGGATTCCAGAAGGGGTGGGGTTTATCGGCTGCATCCTAAGGACAAGCCCTGTGCGGAGTCTCTCTCTCCCGTGCATTCTCAAGTCACCCCTGGAAGCTGGCTTCTAACTACCAGTCAAGCGAAGGAACTCAGAAAGATGAAGATGCCCGCTCCTACCTAGCCAGTTCATGAAGGGTACTATGGGGATGTGATCCTATCCCGGGTGGCTCGGAAACGTGCTCCCTGTTATGCTACTAAACCTTTTGTCTTTCATCACAGGCAGGAAGCTGTGAAGAGGGAGATCTGTTTTCTCATGGACTCTCCTATTCCTGGAGAAAGCTAAGGGCAAAGTGAAGTACAGGCGTGGACCCCCACGCATTAGAGCCATGGGCAATTCCAGGGAGCCCCTTTGGTCTGTTGTTTCTGCAGAAGAGGGGACTTACGTGCTCACCTCCCTGTTTGGGGTGGTGAGGCCGAGGTGTCAGACCTTTCAGTAGGGACTTGCTGTCTTATTTTTCAAACACCCTTCCTCACCGTGGAAGGAAGAGGAAAGCTTCTGGCTCAATGCCTGTCTTGCAATTCCATCCCATCTGATCTTATCCTGGGCTCTGTCTTCCTGGTCACCAGAGAGACCTGATCAGAATCCTGCCCAGGCCCCTCACCTGGCAATCTGTTGCTGACTGGCTGATGCTCCTTCTCAGGCCACGACACAGCAGGGTTCTAAGTGAGTTCCTTTAAGGAAACAGAGCTGTGGACAAATTATTTAATCCATGCCTGGGACATTGCATTTCAGGAATACGCAAGATCGAGCCTGTTTTTGTTTGTACAGCCCAACCCAGGATGTTTGAGTTCAGGCTCAGAGAAAAGAAAAGGTGCACCAGACACTTTAACTATTTCGCTGCTTGTCAAACTTCCCAAGATTGCTTCATTCTATAAATATTTGCTAAGCTAGGAGCCAGGAAGATGATTAAGACACGGACTTTGCCTTCACTGTCTGGCCAAAGACACAGAGGGGTAAAATATCTACAGCATACATCATACCTGCCGCCCTTGAGCCAGGCCAAGGAAAAATAGAGAAAGGAGCAACTATTTGCCCACAGAGATAAAGTGATTTGAAGACACCAGGAGAAGCTTTGCAGAGGAAGGGAAATGAAAAGAGCTCCTAAGAAAGGCTTGGAGATACAGCAGTGGTGTGGTAGTTAAGAAACACATTGTGGTCCAGTGAGAATAGTGCTTTGGATCTGGAGTGAGAATTTGTAGGATTGGAAGGCAGTGAGGATGGGAATTAAAGGAGAGAGGAAAGGGAAGTCCTGTGTGTTCTATTTGTGCATAGTTACTCAGTCTTGCAGCAAAGGGGAGGTTGGACTGTAAACAGTGATCAGAAACATGAGAGGACTTATTATGGCTTTGAGCTTCAAATTTGCTGAGCTTTTGACAAGGGAAGGATATGATCAGATCTGGGGCCTGAAACGCTCAGTTTTCTTAACATGTGGAGGAAAGATTTAGTGCAGGACCGAGAGGTCCAGGCAAGGCTGAGGGCAGGAGGCCAGTCACGAGGTTTGTATGATCTTCTAGGCCAGACACCAACACTAGAGTGGAAGGGAGCTGCAGAGCAGCAGGGAACAGCTGACAGGGACAGAAGACTCGATGGAAATAGAATTAGCAGGTCTTGGTGACCCACTACTGCGGAGGGTGTGGCTTCCCTGAAGGTACACGTGACAGTCGTGCCCAGCCAGAACCTTGCTCACAGCTCAGAGACTGGTGGCACTGGAGGCTGGGGAATGTGTGTGTCTGTCCCCAGCAGCTTTCAGACCAGTTGAAAGTAAGTTTGTGTATTGTGCGGGACAAGGGCAGTTTCTATCACCCGTACCTGTAGATAGTTGCACTATTTGTTTTCCAGTACTGAGATTGAGCCCAGGGTCTTTGCACTGCGCTACTTTCACATATGTATAAATTTTGAGACAGGTTCTGTTGTTTGTTTGCTTGTTTTTGTTGTTGTTGTTGTTGTTTTTGTTTTTTGAGACAGGCTCTCACTATACAGCTCAGGCTGGCCTTGAACTCATGGTGATCCTCCTGCCTAGGCCTCCTAAGTACTGGGATTATGGACATTTGCCACCATGATGCCTGGCAGGGAGGACCGTGAGTTCTGTAAAGGCAAGATATCCTTTCTCTCTCTCTCTCTCTCTCTCTCTCTCACATCTCCAAGGTCTTGCTATGTCATTGAGGCTTGCCTTGAACTTGCAGCGATCCCCCTGCCTCAGCCTCCAGAGTGCTGGGATTACAATTGTGTACCACCAGTCCAGCTGAAGATAGGCTCTCATGGTATCTGCACCCTTGGCAGGGCCAGGAGCCTGGTAGTCACATAAATACACAGTATTCATGGAAAGGAAAGTCTGGCCATTTCATAGACAGGTTGCATGCTCTTCCCCCCGAGCTTGGCTCCAAACTACCCTTGCTCCTTGAACGGTCACACTTATTCAGCTCCTGTTATTCCTTTGTAGGCCGCGTGGCAGTCTCTGTGCAGAGTGTGAACAAGCCACGTCATTATGGAAGCTCGTACAGCAGTCTTCCCTCATCGCTGGTTTCATTTACCGTACTCGGCAGAAAACACCACGTCTCAGTGGTCCTTACGTCCCGAAAGGTCAGCTGCCAGGAACACTATGTCACCATTGCCTCCTCTCGTCAGGTGGGAAGAGGGTCATCGCATATCACTCCAAGAAAAAGAAGTGCAAATACAGTTCAGTAAGTCTTTTGAGAGACAGCATATATATAGATATATGTATATCTATATATATAATTTTTCACTAAGTGTCTTTTGGCAATTGTTTGTTTGAGACAGGGTCTTACTACGTAGTTGAGACTGACCTGGGACTCACTGTGGAGCCCAGGCTGGTCTCAAACTCACAGTGATCCTCCTGCCTCAGCCTCCCAAGTGCTGGGATGACAGGCATGCGCCACCACACCTGGCAAGATAAATGTCTTTGTTTTATTTTGTTTGGTTTGGTTTGGTTTTTGGTTTTGTGAGACAGGGTCTCACTATGTAGTTGAGACTGACCTGGAACTCACTAGTAGCCCAGGCTAGTCTCGAACTCACTCCCCCGGCTGAAAATTGTTTTTTGCTATCAGTTGTTACTCTCTTAGTATGTCTGATTCTAACAAACTGAGGAAGAAACTTAGTGTCCATGACTGGCAACTTATTTGTGGAGGAAGAAACATTATACCCATGGGTCAGGGAAGAAGAAACATTGTATCCACAGACCCAAGCCTTCTGTGAGCATGGGAAGAGCACAGTATCCACCCGGCTGAAAATTGTTTTTTGCTATCAGTTGTTACTCTCTTAGTATGTCTGATTCTAACAAACTGAGGAAGAAACTTAGTGTCCATGACTGGCAACTTATTTGTGGAGGAAGAAACATTATACCCATGGGTCAGGGAAGAAGAAACATTGTATCCACAGACCCAAGCCTTCTGTGAGCATGGGAAGAGCACAGTATCCACCGCTCAGCACCTTATGTGTGTGGGGGAAGAAAAGTATCTACGAGGCTGGCCTCTCTCCAGGGTTTCACCCATCCTTATCTTTATTAACAGATGTTTGCAAGAACAGATGAAATTAACCCTCATTAATCTTTAGCTTCCTCCAAAGTATGAAGAGCAAAGAGCCAAAGGACAACACATTAGCTAACAGTTGTCATCCCTGTCTTAATAAGTTCCTTCTGGGTCACTGCTGTTGGGTCTTGAAAAAGGTAGCTGAAAAATTATGTTTATTTTGAAGTCAAACAAGTCAGAGAAAGCATCAGAGGCCCCAGAGCTCAGCGGGCCTGACTGCTTTGCAGCCAGGTCAGCCAGAAGCCACTGGGGTGTAAGGAACCAGCCGCATGCTCTGGCGTCCACGCGTGCTGCTGGAGGGGCAGAGTGGGGGACTGCGGTCGCGGTCGCGAGTGTAATAAACACGGATTCCACTGCAGAGCCCGCGGGGTCCTGGGGGGCCGTCAAAGGGCTCGGCCTGCAGT